GTAAATATAACTTTTCTACAAGAATGTTCTTCTGCACTCTCCAGTTCAGAAGCTGTTAGCATTGTGGCTACTGTGCATCAGAGCTGTGACTCACGGCTGAAGAACCACGTTCTAATCTCATTAGGTTTCCATCTCCACAGAGGACTAGTAGATAATATACTGAATAGTTTAGCCCAAGCAAGCTCCCTTCAGACACAGATAAACCAGACTATCTTCACTTTATTCCCAGCACAGCAGATATACAAAAGCTAGGTAAGTGAACGGAAAAGGCAGCGGTGGCTTTCCTGAAGGACAGACATGGATTCCTAAATGATGCCAACAGGACAGCACTCTGAGAGCTGAGTGGAAAGAAATGCTTTGCTCATACCAGACAGCGTGGACAGAGTAGGACCCAGGCTTAAGAGAATTAAGCCTAAGTATTCTCAAAGGAAAGTCCCTGAGTGAGGGGTGGGAGAGTATGAAATTTTCTGAAATTAAATCATAAAATTTAAGAAATAATTTTAACTATTTGAAAATATTCTAAGAAGTTGAAATACCATGATCTTGAACTAGTTAAACAAGAATGCCTTGCGGCTGAAGAGATACAAACTGCTCTTGCACAGGACAGGAGTTTAATTACTAGGACAATGCCAGGCAGCTCACAGCCTCCTCTAACTCCAGCTCCAAGGGAGCCAGTGCCCTCTTGTGACCTCTGCTGGCACTGCACTCACATGTACAAAGCTACACAGAGACATACACATACACATAATATTTTTAATACTGTTAAAAAAAAGAAGCAAGCTGAGATTTCTCCCATTTTAGATAAAAATGAATCTTGTAGCTCTTTACTCCTTTATACTAATAATCATAAGAGGAGCTTCAGGAAGTACCTGTAGTGTACTACATTCAATTCTTCATGGCGTCTGAGTCTGTATCACCTGGACTTAAAACGGCAGTAACAGCTACAGTCATCTGTGCATGGGTTCCACTATGCTGTGGCCAAGGCTCTGGACATATTCCTGTTCATGTATTCATCCGCTCAGCTATCAGCATAGAGGTAGGACATCATACCCATCATGAAATCTCTTCTTCATTTCAAGGAAACACAGCTACCATGATGCCACACTTTGACTCCTCCCACCTGGGATGGTCCATGCTCAGTTATCTGTCAGTTCAGTTCTTAGAAGACTCTGCTACTTGAAATCAGCCATTGTCTGTACTCCCTTGCTTTATTTTTCTCCAAACTACTTAACCACCCTGTGTTGTCTATTTCCTACATGCTAGCATCGTTGACTGTCCCACTAGAGTAACTTTTTTGTTTTTTGGTTTTTTTCATTGTTGTACTTTCAACCTGCAATGTACTATGTAGTGCACTGAGTGCATAGTAAGTACTCAGAGAATTGAATAGATGGAGGAGCCTATAATACTTGTCCCCTAAAGATCAGCCTCTGGCTGTCACAAGAGGGTACAGTTCTGAATACGTCCAAGTATTCAGGCACAGGCTCACAAAATAAACTTTACATCTTGCTTTCTGCGTAAACCTCTGAATAAGAAAGTTAATCTATCCTTGTTTTCCTTGTTCGCCTCTTAATTTCCATGTCACCAACCTCCTATATGGATCATCAACAGTGCAAAACTGTCAAGACACTCAATGAGCTATGCATTTAAGGATGCTATCTAAGACTGTAAAGTACTCTGCACATCACCACTGTTGAGAGGTAATCATCAATATATCCCAGCTATGTACCCTGTGACCTACAACAGTCATCTATGTATAAGACAGAATAGTGTGACAGTGGCACAACTGTTATGGAACTAACCAGTCTCTCTCTCTGACTGGCTTTAAGGCCTATTCCATGAGATGGAACCCATAGGTGACACTGCTAAAGTGCCAAAGAGCCTAAGACTAAATAGGTCATGAAACTACAGGAAAACCCACTACTATGATTCTGCTAAAGGAACCTAGCAATACAATGACTCTTGATGATATTCTACTGTACTCATAGATTAATGCCTCACTTAGCACTTCTTCTGAGAAACAACTTCTTACAGTAGATGAGAACACAGAAACCCACAACTGGACAATGTACAAAAATAAAAGACTTTGGAGCAATCATTCATAAACAGGATGTCTTTGACAAAGCCCCCACTCCCAAATCTCCCAAGGCTCAGGGCTTTAAGAGGTAAATGAGGGAGAAAGATTATAAAAACAAAAAGTAATGGATTACTCCAAGAAAACAGTATCTTCCAGACACAACAGGATTGATGCACATATGAATTCACAGAGCCTGCGGCAGCATGCACAGAACCTGCACAAGTTCAAACCAGATGGGTCCCAGCACTGAAAAGAGGACATGGACAAGGGCTGTCTCTCCTAACCAAGAAGCTATCACCAACTAATACCCACTGCAAAAGAAAAACCAATTTTCTCCAAAGGAGTCTCACTGAGTGTATTAACAACACTTCAGGGCGGGCTCCATGCCAAGTAGTACTTGGCAAACTCAAAACTCGATAGCTTTGTAGACCTTTTTTCTCATTTTGTTTTGTTTGGGTATTTTTTGCTGTTTCATTTCCTTTTGTGTGGATGGAGGTTATTTTGTGTTAGTTTAAAGAGTGATAGACTATAAAACTGGGTGGGTAGGGAGGTAGGGAGGATCTAGGGGGCATTGAGGGAGGGGAAAACATGATCAAGAAAGAATGCAGCCTAAGTACCAGGCATGCTCAGATATGCCTGTAATTCTAACACTTAAGTGACAGAGTCAGGAAGATCAGAAGTTCAAAGCCAGTTTCATATACACAGTGAGTTCAAGGCCATCTTGAGCTACATAAAACTTTGTCTCAAAACAAACTGCATGTCAAAAAATAATATTGTAAAAATGGTTATATTACTTAAAGCAATCTGTAGTTTCAACAACATTCTCCTTTAAATTTCCAATGGCATGCTTCAAAGAACTGGGGTGGGGGGGTGGGGGGTGGGGCTAGCAGGAGAAGAATTCTAAACGTCATATAAATGCACAAAAATAAGCAAGTAGACCAATGAAAAGAGGATCCAGAAATAAACCCAAATATCTACAACCAACTCATCTGTGGCAATGGTGTCAAAAGCCAACATTGGGAAAAGCCTCTTCAGAAATGGTGTTGGAGACCTGAATGTGCACATGTAGAAGAATGCAACTATATCCATATCTTATCCTGGGTAAAATCAATTCAGAATGGATCTAAGACCTAAAACTTCAGAAATGCCAAGGAAACAGTCACCAAAGTGAAGAGAAAGCCTACAGGTGAGACAGGTGGAGGAGATCCATATTTATAATACATAAAAAACTATAAACATAAAACAACATAAAATTATCCAATGGTGAACCAAACATTCAGATCTCAAAAGAAATACAAATGGCTAATAAATATTTGGAAAAGTCTTCAACATCCTAAGCCATTAGATTAATGCAAATTCAAACTCCTTTATGATTGTCATCTTTCCCTAGAAGGAATGACTGTCCTCACAAAAATAAATGGCAACCTGTGGGCAAGGCTGTGGAAACGTGGAACATACACTACTGCGGGTGAGAGAAACTAGAGCAGCCACTAGAGAACTGAGTGTGCAGGATCTCTATAAACAAACAAACCTACAAACTACTACATCTTACACTCCTGGATATAGAGCCAAAGAGTACAAGTCAGTGAGTGTACCACAGATACACTGATATCTGCCCAACCATGCTTATTGTTATAGCATTCACAATAGCAAAGAAGCAGAACCAGCCCAGATACAGGCCAAACAATTAATAGAGAAAATATTGTACTGATATACAATGGAGTTTTATTCAGCCACAAAAAGAAAAGGAAAGAGAGAAAGAGGAGAGAAAAAAAACATGCTATTTACAGAAAAGGAGCAGTAAGCTGGACTGGGAAATATTTCCTTTCACATCACTAAACTTTGGTTATCTGCAATAGCAGGATACGCTCTTAGCTTGAGCCATGTCTCTCACCCAATCAAAAACACACATTTTAAATAATGTATAAAAGGCTGTACAACTCAGAAATAAAATATACAACTGAATTAAAAATAGGCAAAAGTGACTAAAGCTATAGCTGACATTGAGAGGTAGCCCAGAGTGTGCAAATCTGATTGCCATGATGGGGGAGAGGAGGAACAAAGATTTGAGTAATTTCCTCCCAAAGATATACAAACAGCCAGTGAGGACATGGAAAGATATGGAATGTCTTCAATAGGAAACTACAAACTGAAGTGTAGGGACACCACTGACAGCTAATAGGGTAGCTATGACTGAAGGCAGCAGCAGTGCTGTCCAGGACATGGAACTGTGTCCTTCTTCACAAGTCATGACAATGCAGAACCTTCAGGAAATAGGCCATTTCTGAAACAGCAGGCTCTGAATTACCACAGGGCCCAGCCACTCTACTCCAAGCTATACGTTCCAAAGAAATGAAAGCAGGGATTCAGTGTTTTGTACACAGATATTCCTAACAGTATTATTCACAATACTAAAATCAACCTACTGCCTCTTAATTGATATGGGGAGGGGGCAGTAACATATTAATGCAATATAATTTGGAAGTAAAAAGAAATCTAAATAGTGATATATGACTAAGTATATAGCATAAATGACTAAGCCATAAAAGAAACCAGTCGTGAAGACCACATTTTATGACTCCATGTCATGGACCCAACTGTGTCCCACCAGCAAGATGACTCAACAGGTACAGGTGCTCACTCTGTCAAGCCTGACAACCCCAGTTCTACCCCTGAATCCCACATGGCGAAAGAACTGAACTGACTCTTACAAGTTGTCCTCTGAACTCTACACATGTAAGATGGATCAGCACATAAAGGCACTTGTCACCAGGCCTGACAACCTGAGTTCAGTCCCTAGAACCCACATGGTAGAAGGAAACCGCCAACCCCCAAAAGCTACCCTCTGACCTCTGGGTGTACTGTCAGGCAAGCGGGTACACGTACAGAAATTAAATGTTAGAAACAAAGCCGCTGCCTAACTTACCAAACACTGTACAATTCTGGGGAGAAACGTAAAGCCCGGAAGGTGCCTCCTTACAGAGACAGCAAAGGACTTCAACTGCAGTTGTTCTTCAGAAGGGTTTTCAAACACTGGAAAGAAAGTGGCACAAGCCATTAAAAATGCCATCATCATCACAACCGAGGGCAGTAGAAGTCCATCCTTTAATAGAAGAGGCAGCATGCTGTAAAGGAAAATAAAAACAGCAAAAGCATCAATAATTACGGTGTAAATTTTCCAATGACTATAATAATCATACTAGAAATATAATATGAAAATTGGTTTGACTCACCTAAATGTTGAAACCAGTAAAAACCAGGTTGACATGAAAGGAATTTCACTTAAAACTAAGCAAACTGGTCTAAAATGACAAGAAAAAATATTTTAATGTTACAGAATATAATTTTATTCCTAGCCTGGAAAAATATAAATATGCTCTACATGTCTGATTTTTAATGTTAGTTTAAAAGAAGAAAAAGTTCTCCATGTGACTACTCAGGAAGTGTGAACTTCTCCACACTGTCTAGCCAACAGCCACTAGGTCACCAGCAAACACTCTTTCATGTGCCACATGAACAGTCCTTTAAGGAAAAGACGAGAGAAAGCATTTCTTTCTACCCTGCAAACACAAAGTGACTCCCAAGGTAACTGACTTCAAACTTCTTCCAAGTTACATGCTTCCCAGTCGGTTACAAACTAAAGTTATGACAAACAGGATTACCACATCATTGGAGAAAGGATAACAAAGGTGAATAATAAAGGGGACAAGTTAAAAACAGTAAAAAGAAAGATGAAAGCTGAATAATTAGAAGCTACACAGACAGGGCAAAGCCACAGAACTGGAACACGATGCAGATAAACAGAGCCACCACTTTTCTGGTGTCTACGTATGTATCACAGCCTTTGTCTGATGCTTTCTGAATTTGACTGCATCCATGCTCAGGGAGAAACAGGCTAGTTAGAACCTCTTAGTCCTAGTTCCACAGCTGACACTTAACCATGTGACTCAAGCCAATGATTAATTTCACTGTTCTCTGCAAGTATCCCTTAATATTTATTTTTAGCAATACAAAGTTTTCTAAGAGTGACAGCTGTTGAATTACTGTTGCCATTACTATTACTCTCTCCCCTCTTATGTTTAAAAAGGTTCCAAAAACCGTGAGCATTCTCCCTCTGCGGTGGTTTGAATGAGAGCATCCCCTATAGGCTCAGGTGTTTGAATACTTGGTCCCTACTTGGTTGCACTGTTTGGGGAGGTTTAGGACATATATGTAGCACTGCTGCAGGAAGTATGTCAATGGAGCTGGGCTTTGAAGTTTAAAAAAATGTGACATTCAAATGTGCTCTCTGTTCATGCTTATGATTAAAATGTGAGCTCTCAGCTTGATACTCCAGCCACCATGCCTGCCTTCTACCACGCTTCCCCATCATGATGGTGATGGATGCTCATCCCTCTGAAACCATATAAGCCTATATAAACCCTTCCTTCCATTAGTTGCCTTGGTCATGGTGCTTGATCACAGCCACAGAAAAGTAACTAATATAGCCCCCTTCTTAAAGGAATAGTTTTTTCTTCATGTCTACCAGTATAGAAGATTTAAGCTTGGAGCTGGGGAGTCCCAGCACTCAGGAGGCAGAGGAAGACAGATCTCTGAGTTCAAAGCCTACCTTGTCTACAGAGTGAGTTCCAGAACAGCCAGGGCTACACAGAGAAACCCTGTCTCAAAAGAACAAAAACAGACAAACAAACAAACAAACAAACTCTACTGTTTACTATTAAGAGATCTCACCAGAGGGGTTTCCATTGCAGTGCTTTACTATGCTAAATCAGAAGAGGTTTATCAGCACAAACATAGAAGTACTCAAGAAATAAGGTTTTCTGAGTCTTCCTTCCCATTTACTCTCTCAGTATGTAGTTACCAAACCAAGCACTAATAAAACTGTATTACACGTAGGCATTGCTCTGAAAATAATAAATATGGACACTACTCAGCCCTTAACCTCAAGGTGTCTCTAGGTAGCATACCTGCTATGTCCTCGGGCCTCACTCCCTCTCCTCTTCATCACAGAAAACATGCCTGGCTCACCATTCCCTCAGAATAAAACCAAGGTTTCTAGTAGCCTGTACAAGATCCTACACAACCTGGACTACTGCCCCTTTTAAGTGGTAAGCCCTAACCCAGGTGTGGGCTTCAGGAGCTAACATGGCTGCCCATCTGAAATGACTTGTGTGCAGCAGCTTTATGCCAAGGTGCCTTCCACAGAGGCAACACGGAGCTCTCAGCCCAGGGCTCCACCTAAGAAAAGCAGAACTACTTCCCTCATCTCCTTCGTCATTTTGTACCTGTATCTTCCACATGACCACTGAGAGCACCAGATGGAGCATGGCGTAAGGCAGCAAATGGGACTGAACCAGGGAGGATTCAAGTATCCCATGCTATTCTAGGCTTATACTATTGTAGTGTAACAAAGATACATATACCAAAACTATTATAATATTAGGGTAACATAGCCCCAATTTCACCCAGTTTTTTCTATGAAGAATGGAAAGCTGTAATGTTCTTTAACAAAACAACCGCTTTAAGGTTTACCAAGAGGGTCTGAATCCTTCATCTACAGGCTGTGGTGTAGGGGAACAGAAGGAAAAAAATCGAACACAACATATGAAAGACACCGTGAAGGTAAGGGGAGAGAATAAGGCTAACCGATCGATGTGGTAATGAATGAAATACAAAAGGCAAAGAGGAGAAGCAAGAACGACACTTTGAGGGATGTATTTAGTTAGTATAGAGAAGATATGAAGACCTGGAAGACATGAGAATATTTCAATAATAATTTTGTCAACTATTTTGGTTTAAAATGTATTTTATAAAGTAAAATTAAAGCATTATCCTTCTGAAACTAAGATAAATATATTCAAAAATATTGTGTGGTTTTATTTTACATTTAAATCAATAATTTAACAAATATCATTATATAATAACATAATAAATATATAATTCAAAGATTTCTACTTACAATGATACCAAGAGAATGGACTTTTCATGTACTTGGAAAGAAAACAGAAAGAATGATAGTGCACAGCTAACCTTTAAGAAAGAAGAGGGTGAGACATGATTCAGCAGTGTGAAAAAATGTATCACTATAATTACAAATCTATATAAAACAACCAGTTCACATATAGTTACTACCTAGAAGTAAAAATCAAACAGAATATGCATATTACTTAACCAATGTTAAGTAATGTAAAAAAGTAATGTTTAAGTGTGTAAATTAAAAAGCCAATAATAATTATTGAGCTGGTGAGAGAGTCCAGTGGGAATAAAGTGCGTGTCACTGAACCTGACAACCTAAATTCAAACCCCAGGACCCAGGACCCACATGGTGGAAGGAGAGAACTGCCTCCCACAATTTGTCCTTTGACCTGCTGTGGTACAGGTAAAGCCTCTCACCCCAAAAATATTAATTAAATAAATGAAAAACAATACCAAAACTATTAAAAGGCTATAAAGAACCATCTAAAATGGTTCTGAAACTCAGCTACTAATAAACAAAACTACCAAGTACAGGAAATAATACAACAATCAAACCCCATCACCTCTTGGAACTTGGATAACTACTTAAACAGTATGGGGCCAGCAAGATGACCCAGCAGGTGAAGGCCTGTGCTGCGCAGCCTGCTGATGGATGGGGAACCACTTGATAGAAAAAAGGAACCAACACCCGTAAGTTGTCCTCTGCTTTACACATGCACACTATGGCACACACGCACATGCACATGTGCACACACACATGCACACGCACATAAAATAAATAAATGTAAACTTGTTAAGTATGAAAGACAAAGAGGTCAAAATCTAAAACTGAAAACAAAACAGATCTATGGTAGTGTTTTTTAAAAGTATGCCCAGTGAAACTGCCTTATGAAGTCATCTGTCTGTGTGTGTGGATCTTGCTGCTCAAATACAACTAAGACCCTACACATCATTCTGTAGATACGCTGGCACTTCCTACATACAACAGCCACCCTCTTTGCTCCATTTTGCTCTGTCAGTGTTGTCAAGTCAAGGGACATGTCAGCTGGACCAGTACAGTAACTTAACTGGTAGCACTGCTACCCTCCCAGTAACCTTTAGTCACATAATACCCATCTCAAACCCCCTACTGGCTTCCTAGTACACTTACAATAAAATGTGGACTCCTGTGAAATCTGTCATTCCTAAGGCACCAGTCATTGTCTCCTTCACTCAACTTTTTCTCACCTACCCATGACACACAGAAACAGACACAGAGACACATAATATCCATTCCTAGCCTGTTCTCTGTCCTTCCATAGCTCAAGCTGTCTTCTGCCTTCAGCTCTCCAGAAGGTCCAAGTTTTGTCTAGCCTCCCAAAGCTGACTGAAATCCCAGTTGCTCAGCAAGTCTACAATCCTCCTCCAAGATCTCTCCCTTCCCCACATCACAGACTTGGTCTGTACCAGCAGGACATAATGCCACCTATTCAACAGCATTAGACGGACATATATTATTGCCACCTTTGTGGCACTCATTAACCAACCATAACAAAGCAAAAAAACAACAGTTCTTGAAGTGAACTAAAGATTCTGATTGCTCAGCCTAATGCCTAATCTAGCACCTGCAAAGACAAGTGTTCAGTGTGTCCTATAATCAGTGCTTTGTTTGGCAGCCCACTCAATCCTACCCCAAACAAGAAAATGATTACTGATGTCTTTAAAATGTCAGTTATAGCAATAACTAAGTATCTGAAGAAAAATGAGAAACTTACCAGAGTAAATCTGAATCTTTTAGAAGAGGGCTGAACTGTCAATTTTATGCATACAGGAAGCAAGCTCAAAAATGTAAAGCAAAAGCTAAAAAGCAATAAAATGTGTTTTCTGAGTTAGAAATGAAACAATTACTTTTTAAAGTAGAAAGATTATATTATTCAACAATCTAAGATGATCTCAGATTAAACTTTATTAATCATTAAATTTTAAACTAGAATGTGAATAAAACATACACATTGAAGTATGTATAAACTTTTGTACACAATTCTGACATAATACAAAATCAAACAATACTAAGTATCATGTCATTCAGCATTTAATATCATGAATGATGTATCATGTAATATGTACATGTAATATTATGTATCATAGTTGCAGGTGAATTACCAAACACTAGAAAATAAGAAAACACTATCAGGCCTAAGGAGACAACACTGTATTTTCAACACAAATATTCAAAAACTTTACTCCCAGGAGAGTCCTTGCCCTCGCTCTACAAAAGCTGACAATCTTTTTCAACTCCAGAAAGAAGCGATCATAAGAGGTATGTTATGGTTTGGTCTCATGTTTGTATTATTTTAATTGGGTCCTTAAAATTGTAAGAGAATCCACATGTAAGAAACTGAGGGTCCCTGCCTCCAGCTGGCTTTAATTGGTAAATAAAGTTTCCAGTAGCCAATGGAGACAGAGTAGGGAGACAGAGGTGGAACTTTTAGCATTCCCAGTCAAGGGACTGAGGGAGGGGAGAGCCACCATGGTGAGAAAGTAGATGCCAGACCTGAGAGATGTCAGACAGAGAACATAGCCCTGACATAGGTGTTGGGGAACTCAGCCCAAGAGGCCTGGGTCTGGGGCAGCCAAGATGGAATACAGGTTTTAGTAAGTAATAATTCAGGAATATCAGAGGAGAGAGTGTGTTAGCTGTGTGGAGGTTTAGAAGTGGCCCAGCCACTAAGACATATTAAAATATAAGACTATGTGTGTCTTTCATTCGAGAAACTAAAACATTGGGGTGGGTAGTGAGGACTGTCAATTTAAATAGAGATTAATTGGCTACCACTAAAGATGGTGCCCAAAGTGGGGCTCAAACTCATGACTCTGAGAATAAGAGTCTCTGACTACTGCTATAGGAGTGAGCTGTGCAGCTTCTCTTAGAGGTGGCTGATGAGTAAAGAGGAGAAAAGCTAGACATAGCCACCTCAGCACTGTGACAAACAACCCATAGTGCCTGAAGACGGATATAGGTCCCAACACAGAACCTCACTTCCTCACTTTGGGTGATTCTGTAACTTGTGATTGGTGAGGCTTAAGTCCCTAACCTCCCTTTCTGCACACTTCCGGAGAAGGTGGGCTACAGAGTCTATTCTGAGAGTCAGAGCCCACAGAAAGGCAATACTCATCTGCTAATTGAAGTCAAGCAATGGATGAGTCTGTCCTGAGGACTTAGCAATCATCTGGAAGCCCTCCTGATAGTCACTGTGGGTCAGTTGCATTTCCTTGCCAAGATATTCCTGATGTCTACCCTGTGGACTTATGGCTTCCTTAGCCAGACCCCCGCAACTCCTCACAAGTGCATTAGTCAATTCCTGTGATTAAACTAACACATTCATAATTCTAACTTGCTGTATTTTTCTAATTGACGTTGGCTGCACACCTATACAAATCATGACTCTTCAAAATAATATTAAATTATATTTAATCTATGTTCTATTTAAAGGAAAAGTAGGACAAATGTTCACATAAAATCATTCAAACTGGGGAGGGGAAGAGGGACAGCAAAGGAAGAGGAAGGGCTGGGTTTGGTGATACACACCTTTAATCCCAGCTAGGGAGGCAGAGGCAGATGGATGGATCTCTGAGGCAGCCTAGGTTTCAGAGAAAGTTTCCAGACAGCCAGGGCTACACAGTAAACTTTGTTTTGGGTGAGGCGGATGCAGGACAAAGAATTTTAATGTACTAAGTGGAAAGTCACTAATAACCAGCTCGGATAAATAGCATACTACTGTAGTATTTTTTGAACAGTGGCTTACAAAGTACTACATATAAACTTTGTTAGTTACCTGATTGCTATCTGAATGTGACTAGGCAAAATGTCCTTAATCTTCAGAAAAACATTAAGGCTGCACCAAATATTGGCTACTTTATCCTTTAAAAAAAGATTTGTTAGTTTTACATTTTGAAATAATTGAAAGAAATATTAAACCCCATGAAGTACAGCCTATAATCCCCAGGTAATAAACTTTCAAGACATGAAACTTTCATTCACATTTATAAGAAAGTACATTAAATTCTTCAAGCACTAAAAATATACACTCACAGTCTTAAGCATTTTTCCTTTTTGAAATGCAGATTATGTAAAGCATCAGTAAACTATAATCTACATTCTAATAAACACTTACAATTTTAAAAAAACAGAATATAAGCAAAAAGCTCCTCAAATTTATAAAATAAATATTAATTACATTTGCCCATTTTATTACAAATTTAACTTCCTGTCACATTATCTAAAAGGCACTAGCAATGACAACACTAATTGCTAATAAATCAATAAGTTTTAAAACATTAGCAATTGTGCTAGGCTCACTCAAGATGAAATTTGCTATTTCAGCTCCCCAGATAATACAATCTATCCTCCCTCACAGCTGCAAATCTCACAGCAGTGCAGGCAGGAAGACATCAAGAAGTGATGGCCTAACAAGTGTTCCGCCCACTTCCTCTTCCAGGTCAAAGACCAGATCTAAAGCTTCTGGGTTTGAGAGTAGTGGGGTCTGGTAAAACACTATGAATGTGCTTGACACCATCCCATACTTACTATCATAGACACTTGGGGAACCGTAATACACTATGATGCCTGACACCATCCCACACTTACCATCATTGACACTTTCTGAAACTGAAGATACAGCAAATAACAGGTAGCTCTTGTATTAAAAAAAAAATAATCAAGTTTTTCTTTGCTGTATTAGGATTTGAAATCACAACTCTGCCACATAGCAGGTCTATGAATGTCTGACCTCAGTTTTCTATCTGTACAATAGGGGTGATGACCATTTTAGAGATATAAGGATCATGATTAATTATGTGGAAGGGTCTAGCATTTAATGAGTGATGTTAGCCACCATGGGATTATCAACAGTATCTATACACTAACACTGTCACACACCCCTCTACCTTCACAACAATAAACATAATACCTAATCTCTTCCAAAATGCTTATCCCAGCCTCTTGTAAATCCTCTGAAAATATTTTATAGAAATTATCTACTCAAAACTTAGAAATGCTTTCTAATTCTTTTCAAAAGAAATGTTATTCAAAAGCAAATTATCTATAAATATGTTGTCTCTAAGTTTATTAAAAGACCTTTTGTTCCAGAAATAAATGGTTTGTTTAGCTTAATTACTAATTCTAAATGATCAAATTATTCATGCAATAAAAGTTTAACAAGAGTGATTAAACTAAAATTAAATGAAAGGTTCTCATTAAAAATTACTACAGATGAAGGTTATATATTTCATAAGAAATGATGAGATCTTTCTGAGGCAAACAGGATTATCAGCGTAACAAATAACTGTGGCAAACTAAGAGGAGATCATAAACCAACACAGTGGCGGGCTTGTTAACTAACTCTGTGGCTGCGATATCTAATGCTCTTTTATTATGGACCAATCTGACTAGAAAGAATGTACAACTGAATTATGAACCTAATTATGGCAAAAACATTACCTATTCATATAAGGCACTAAAAAATGCCAACTGAGCTAGGAGCACTCCATTGACTTGAGGAGGAAATAGAAGTTACTGCTCCTGATATCCTCTGCACAGGCTCCCCAAGGTTACAGAAGAGGTCAGCAATAGTAAAGCATGGGTCCATTCAATCCTACCTCAAACAATCCACGATCAACAGGGAAGAGTCTTCTTACAACCTGCAGGGCATGCTCCCTTTCTGTCAAGAACGGCAGCCAACACAGAAGGAAGGAAGCCACGACAGTACAGGCTATCCTAATGAACAATGCAAACCTAGAACAAAGAGGCGGGTGAGCAGTAAGACAGAGGGAAGGGATGTGAATATCATCTAATATGATAACTACAAATCTAACAGTGTTGTCTATCAATACTACTAATAAAGATTGAAAACGGGACACCACTCACAGCACAGCTGAAATGTTCACAACTGTTAAAAGACTCATTTCTCCAGCCAAGGACCCACCAGTATCCTCATTAGCATTTAGCTTGGATGCCATTGCTATAGGCATAAAGGGATGTAGCCATAAAGAAAACTGTCAAGTAGGAGTACTTCTAATAAACAGATAGCAGGACAAGCCCTAAAGTGATGGCACTCTACAGCAGTGCTCTGGCAAACCCACCCATACTGCCTCCGAAGTGTAAGTTCATCAATCAGTCCTGTAGTTACGAAGATTTACAAGAATACAGAACATGGCTCAACAGCTCTCCTCCCATCCGCCCATGGCTGGCACATGTATGAGAAACCACCAAAGCCAAAGACCACCTTCCTCCAGGTAAACATGCAAATAAATTCTCTGAAAAATTTAAATTCTATGTTTTAATAGTTACTTACCCCTTTCCTTTGAGGCCTTTTTTAAAACACTTGCCAAGTAAAAAGCAAAAAAATGGTAGGGAGTGGTAAAGTTCCATCTGTTTATAATTTAGAGCTAAGCAAAATGCCAATGACCCTAGCAGGTCCCAGTCACAAGATACTCCAAGAACACCCCACAAAGCAAAGCCAAGACTCACAGAATTATATATGTTCCACGTCAAGGAAATTAGCTCAATAATTAAGAGACAGAGTTTACATTGCATACAACATATTTCTTATGGGATTTAAAAATAAGATACATGTACAATGAAAGCTCCTAAATATGACCTAAAAGCATTATGGTGAAGAATGTCTGAAAAGAATATATACAAAGCAGCCTCAAGTATACCAAAGCACTGCTACACAGCAACTGATGTATTACTGATTATGACAACAAATTACTGCTGTTCCTGTATGTTGCTTTTATACTATGTGTCAATCAGATAAAGAGTCAAAAGAAAAGGGGTGAAAGAGAAGGAAAATTTTAATTAGAATTTCAAAATATGTCTAAAAAGACAAATGGAATAGACATGTTAATGGCAAAGACAGGGCAATTTTCTATAAAGCACAAAACAGAAGGTAAACATGCAGAAAAGAACATTAAAAAAAAATCTAACAACTGGCTAATAAGATCAGAAAGGAGACAAGGAAGAAAATTATCAAAGAAATTAAAGAATATGATCTTTAAAAAAGAAAAGGAATGAATCCACACAGTGTCCAAAACAGTCAGAAAGAACAGCTCCCTATGCCTAAGGAATCACTGCGTTTTTAGATCCCACAGGGTAAATAACAAAAAGATCAATTAGCACCAGTGAGATGGTTCAGTGAGTAAAAGGGCCTGCTACCAAACCTGATGACCTAGTTCAATCCCTAGAACCCACATGGTGGAAAGAGAGAACCAACTCCTGCAAGTATCCCCCTGATCTCCACATGCACACATATACACATATACACAAAATGAATGATGAAAAAACAAAAACAGCAATTATACTACTAGCTATAAATACCTTACAATGTTCAGCATCTCCAAAGAATTACTGTAAGTGTTTTACAAATCCTCATTTAATTCTCAAAACAAGCTCACCAAGTAAGAGTTACCGCTATCCCAATTTAAAAATAAGGGAACAGAGCTGGAGAGATGGCTCAGTGGTTATGATCCCTAGTTGTTCTTCCAGAGGATCTGGGTTCAATTCCCACACCCACATGGTGGCTCACAACTGTCTGTAACTTCAGTTCCAGGATATCTGTCACTCTTACACAGACATACATGCAGATAAAACACCAATGCACATAAAATAAAAATAAATAACTTATAGAAAAAATACTGGGTATGGTGGTACACATCTTGAATACCAGGACTGGAAAGGCAGAGGCTGGTGGATCTCTGAGAATTAAAGCCAATATGGTCTACAAAGCAAGTTTTAAGATAGCCAGGGCTACACAGAGAGACTTTTGTCTTAAAAAAAATAATAATCCATAAGTGAATAAAATTAAAATAGAAATAACAAAAAGAATAATCATTTTCAAAGTGTTCCCACAAAAATCACACAACTCAAAAGCTTTAAGATGTAATTCACACCTTGTCCAACCCTTTCTATCAAGTGAGAAGTTTGTATAAGTAAGTATACTAGCATCTATGGCAACAGCAGATGGCAATGCTATATGCAGTGAGCCTACATCGTAACATGTAACTGGTTTCATGTTTAATTTAATAAAGGATACTGAAAATGTCCATAGTCGATAAGAATAAGACCTGGATACAGCAATATGCATAACGCACTAGCGATCTGTGAAGAAAAGCATGGTGGGTAAGAGGTCATTACTACAGCAGAGTGATGTGCACTGTGCAGTTAGCATGGTAAAACCGTCCCATCTTCCTGAGACACTGTACTTCCTTAATCAGAATATTCCACTTCACAAGTCACCTATTAAGACACTAAAGCTTTCATGGAGGCAATAGAAATACTTTTAAAAAGTAAAATTACTGAAAGGAACTTTTTATCTGTTTGTTTGTTGACTCTCACTATGTAGCTCTGGTGTCTTAGAACTCACAACGTAGGCCAGGCTGTCCTCAGACTCACAGAAATGCACCTGCCTCTGCCTCCCACAATGCTAGAATTAAAGATGCCCTCAACACCACACCCAGAAAGACAGTTTAATCTAATGATTGGCTTTATAATCCATCGATGTAAAATTCTCAAGGAAGGAGACTTGATCATGACTGTTGACAGACACAAACTTTCCAAAATGCCTTTTAGTTGAGTCCTAGTCACACGCCAGCTCAAAATTCTGATTTATGAGCTTAGCAATAAGTGCAGCATGGTGTGGGTCGACATCACGCAGTTCTAAAGTTCAATGCGCTGTTATTAATAGAGAACACTTAAAGTAATTACTGTAAGTTAAATGTTGTTTTTAAATGCAAATTAATCAATAGAAGATAAAATATTCATTACCCTATGTACTCCCAAAGAGAGAGCTTTCTCAAAGCCAATCCTTACCAGGCTAGTAATAACACACACATTCAGAGATGAAATGTCAAGAGGGGTAGCAGTTACCTTTCTCTTAGGTGAGATTTCTTTTAAGGAGTAACAGTACAAAAGCACAGCGGGTATGTAAATGAGCAAATCAGCAACAAGAACTGAAACACAAGCAGAGAGGATGAGTTTGTTAGACTCCAGCACCCGGCCACCACCGTCCTCCTATAGCCCCCATCGTCCTCCTATAGCGCCCAGCATCCTCCTACAGCCCCACCATCCTCCTATAGCCCCCACCGTCCTCCTATAGCGCCCAGCATCCTCCTACAGGCCCCATCGTCCTCCTATAGGTCCCACCATCCTCCTATATCCTCCACCGTCCTCCTACAGCCCCACTGTCCTCCTACAGCCCCACCGTCCTCCTACAGCCCCACCGTCCTCCTA